CTCCACTTCTCCAAAATTCTCACCAAGTTGGAATCAACAGATGTTGTCATGGAATAGTGGCAACAAACAGCTCGATTTCCCCGATGGAGGAAGACAACCTCTAATGTCTTAGCAACAGATAGAACTATTTTTGTGTGATATTTTGAAGTTCAATTTTCTATGTAAATACTATTCATATATTTTGAAGAAATAACCATTCAAAATACCCCTAAAATTAAGTTCATATGAAATGCTTTCTAGTTGAGCGGATTAAGATTTTCTCCAAAGCACGAGAGGGAGGGGGAACCATGTGTACCAGGGACGTAACCAAAAAATTTCAGAGAAGGAAAGTGCAAAATGTTTTTCTAATATTTACAACTGGCATGAATTCTACTCTGTGTTGTAAACCCAAGCTTAAATGACCAATGTAGACAATTTTGTTTTTAGCTCGAGGGAATTAATCAAATTTTGAAATTTCAATCAATAACGAAAAGGACAAGGTCTTCAGGGAATCTGATACAGCATTCCCCAGCAGGGTACAGGGCGAAGCTCCAGAAGTTAGCTTAATATTAAAAATCTAATTGAGATTTTCAATGTTTTACGAAAATAACTGAATAGAAAACTTCAGTTCTTTACCTCATGCCCCCCTGCCTATGTGCCTAATGGGTAAGCTCTTCAAGTGGCTTTTTATAGCTCTTTAACCTTTCTGTACAAACACATGCACGAACACTCCAAGATGCTTAATTGGGGAATCTATTCTTTAAATAAATTGTATAAACAGTGAGAATTTGGAAGACTATAAACTTTGCAACCCGCTTTTCCACAAAAGAGGAAAATAAATCCTCTATACGACCTGTGAATTTTCATCCATTCAAATCTTGTCCCCTTTTCCAACTCCCGTGAAGCAAATGAAAAGTTGGCACCTGTGTTCATTCTTATATATGGGAAAATGACAAATTTGCCCTCATAGAAACTGTTAATCACTTCCCCTCTTTCCCACCCTCAGAGAATTTTTTTGAAAAAAAGCCGTATTTCACTGCACACATATTAAATAAAAATATAATAAAATCTATTAAATAAGAATAAATAAGAAATTGTATAAAATAAAATAAAATAAGTACATACTTCATCAAGTGGATTTCTCTTTTCCAATAGTAGCAAAGTTATTATGCATTGAAAATGTTCTTCGCCAACCACTCAATAAATACGAAGAAAAAACGTGTAGATGATACGTAACATGGCTTTCTAGACACATGGAAAATGACCATTATATGGTACTAGGTGCGCTGAAGGTTATTTGAGTAGCGCACAACGTCTGCATGTGTAGTGGGTGTACGATTATTACCTAGATTAAACTTACTCACAGCGTGAATTCCCACTGCTTTTGAAACTCGAACTTCTTTGTGTGAAACTGTACCTAATGACTGATGGATGAGTGACAAGGTATTTGTGTGGGCTGGTGAGGAAAGGTGAGGGGTGCAAACACCCATGGTCCCTGTCCTGTGTAGCGTTCAAAATACATTTATTTTTCTTCCCCGGTCAGTGGACATGCTTTTGCATTAAAAAAAAAAAAAGAGAGCTCTGTGTGGTCGGCTGGTGGGCGCCTTTATATTGCGCAGCGCTCCTATATTGGTCAGCACTCGCCGGCCCTGACTGTGCCCAGAATTCTCTGTGAAGCAGATATTGTGTCTCCAAAAATACTTTATACAATAATAAAAATAACAATTGGATTCAGCCACGTCTGTCTGCAAGTCCATCATTCCACCTTTGCGGTAAATGTGTCCAAGTTACAACTATGCAGTAAACCATTGCTAATCCACTACAGCTATCACCTGCAAAGTTATATCAACTGTAAAATGAAAAAGTGAATTGGTGCTTTCCCTAGTCAAGATCTCATCTAATATAAAGTTATCTACAATTAAATAAATCATCACATGTATATTTTAACTTTAACTAGATATCTAACTCCCAAATCAATCAATCAAACATACAATTGTGTTTTTGTTTCTTTTGTTCTGATGAAAATTTTCTGTGAATCACTTAAATAATAGATTCAAAACAATTGTTCTCATCAGTGGCGGCTTGTAATAAGCACTGTGGAACTGCAGCACCCCCTATTTCCAGTTATTATTCTTTTTAATATTTAATATAGTGTGCCCTTTAGTCTTTAATTCTTTCTTTATACTTTTACAATACATAATATTTAAGCTTAATATCAGTAGCCATCCTCCACTTTGAGAAAGTACAAAAGTCTTTGGAACTGCGCGCTTCACAGTTCCAACGACGTGGTGTTTGGCTGTTCTGCGCATGTGCACACAGAAAGCAGCACACGAACCGGGCAGAGAGAATAGCACTGTCGCTCTTGCAGTGCCGAAATTCTGGCATGTTGTTGGAAACGTGATTTCTTTTTACTTCGTGCATGTGGTATTCCTCCACAAGGTGGAACTTCATCATACGGAACATAAACAGAGTTCATGAAAATTTGGCACCTTTAAAAAATTGCCTTTCTGAAATTCAGTCAACATCAAATGCAAAGCAACAACAACAAATGAAACAATTGTTCCTATTGCAAAAGCAACAGGAATTTTAAAATATCTAAATGGTGATAATTTCCAGTTTTGGTTAGAGCTTTTTTATCTGATGCCTCATTTTGAAATAATATACAACTAAATGCAATCCAGAGAAATTAGTGTGTTTAAAGTTAACGAATATATAACAAATTTCAAAACTGCTATTTTAGAATTAAGAAACTCAAACTACTGTGAGAAATATTTGAAAGACACTGATGGCAGAAGCTAAGGAAATATGTGACTTTGTACTATGTATTGATATAATGCACATTCTTCCACTAAACACTTAGCAGCTGCTAAATTGTTAAACAAGAAATGCTTTGCTAGTTTTAATGAAATGCTTTGCTAGTTAGGAAAGAACATTTTACAGAAGAAAGTACTTACCACTGAAGCATATCCAATGATTGAAAAAAAAAAAAAAAAAAGCTTGAAACTGAGCTAAAAGTATTCTCTTGTCGGTCTGATATCCATGAATACTGCAAATTAATTGAGCTACAGAAATTTATCATCGAAAATAATCTAGATGTTCTTAGTGAAGTTACGAAACTGATAAAAATTCTCTTGAGAATTCCCATGACTACATCAGAGGCAGAACACTGCTTTTCAACATTGAAAACTTTTCTAGGAATTTGGAAAGACTAAATGCGTTTGCATGGCGTACTATAACAAAAAATTTCCTCAGTTGTCATCCAGAGATCAAGGAGAAAATTATTGATCTTTTCATGCAAATTAAAACAAGAAGAATGGATTTCATTTTTAAATGAATAGACAAACATTGAACTGTAACAATTTTGGTTAAAGTAATTAAGAAATGTTTAATTTTTTCCTTGAAAGATTTCATGAAGTTTCAAAATAAATTTTCTTTTTATAAATGTTTGTTTCCTTTTAGACAATTTTAAAACAAAGGTTAAATTTTTTTTGGAACAGCATCCCCACTAATTTTAGCCATTAGCCGCCACTGGTTCTCATTAGTGATTTTGCTGCAAAACACTGTATTTGTACAGAAATTTTACTTTAAATTCTTTTACTCTGTTAAATCCTACAAGTACATATTTTAATTGAGTTTTAAGGTAAAAAAAAAAAAGGTCAGGGAAAAAAATATAAAACCCGGTAAATTTGAAATAACAAAAAAGAGCACAATTTCTAATGTTTAGTTATTATGTGTTTAGAACCAAAATATTTTAAGATTTATACAATATTTAACCTTGTTCTGCAAGCAGAAATATTTTTTTAAGCGTGTCTAAAGTTTATCTGTTTTAATGATACTAACAAATGCTTTAATTCAAAATACAATTTTGTTTTCAAAACGTATATGTTGTTTGAAGTAAGGTTAAACTGTAATTTTATGTGGTAGGATTGATAGGTATGTGAAAATTTGCTTTATTTTACATCAATGGTTTTTTTAATTCAGTGAATTCTGGTTATCAACCATCTTTAAAAATTATATTTTAAAATATTATACAGTCAAAAGTCGTTAATTCGGACACCCATAATCCGGAATGATCTATAATCCGGACCTGAAAGCTAAAAACTTTCTGCGCATGCGGCACGTCAACAAATGCGCATAGGCGTTTAAGCGTGTGCGCAAGACCTTTTACCACTGTGCATATGCGTGTGCACAAGCGCAGAATACGTTTTCACGTGCGCGTTTTATGTATAACGGACGGTATAATCTAAAATTATCTAATTATCTATTTCAGTTAATGTTGATGATTGCGTTGTTCCTTAATCTTTGAATTGGATCTGGCTTATTATTTTTTTGCAGACTGTAAGAGCAATTTTATAAAAGTAAACTTGAACTTTCGATTATGTCAAATAGAATTTCCCGATTCTGGAGCTTCCAAAGGATCGTACAAAACGAAAGTATGTTTCGATGTCCATCAAACAAAAAGTGGAATTGCTGCAAAAAATGGATAAAGACATGAAGAATGTGACAGAGAGGTTAGTGAAAACAAAAAAATTTCGATTGACAAGTTAGTCGGTATTCTCGGCACAACAATTAACGGGATTTGAACAGCGGAACTTTGTAACTGAACAAGAAATTGTGTCTGTTTATAGAATTAAAGAGAAAGTATTATCACATAAAACAAAGCAACTTAAAATAACTTACATTGAAAGAAATGTTTAATAAAGTAAACAAATAAATATTAAGCTTTTTTGTAAATTTTGATACCCTTTAGATTATAACTGTTCTTTATTTCATAAATTAAGATTTCATATTTTTAATTTTAGAATTTCTGCATGCCATCTTACGAGATTTAAACTGATGATCTATAATCCGGAAAAATCGATAATCCGGAATCGCCGAAGTCCCGACGAGTCCGGATTAACGACTTTTGACTGTATTTAGATATTTTTCAGTTCTATGATCTTTACTTAAATTTAACAGTGTTTTATTAATTAAGTATTTATTTAAAAATTAATTAGTAATGAATATTTTATTCCTTTCAGATCCGGAAACTCGCCAAAAAATGGTTAGAGAGCGCGGAAGTAAATTATCACCATTATTAGACTAGCTTTCCATTGTTTAGAACATTGTAGTTTTTACAAGTTACACTGTAGAACTATCTATAAATACATATTTTGATCTTTTATTGACTAATGTTAACTTTTGGCATTTTTTTTTTACTAATCCTTAGTTTCTGATACAAAGGAATTTTTGAAGTTATGAGCAATTAGATATATTTAAGTGTCATTATATGAATAAATTAAAAATGTTACAAGTACAAGATTCACCTAATTTAACTGACTTATCTCATGAGTTATTGTGTCAAATTATAAAATATCTCCCTCTAAAAGAAGTTCTAGCATTGTCTACATTATGCAAAAAGTTGTCAGCTGCAGTAGGCATGCATCTTTGTTTATGCAAAAGTATTGATTTTTGCCAAGATAAAATATATGGCTACATGCCTGCATCTATCACTGATGATCACATGCATTCTTTGTTGAAAAAGTGTCCACATTTAGAGACAGTATATGGACTGCATCCATTAAAAGTAGAAAGACGTCGGTTGCGGAAAAGATCTGCACTCACTGTACCAGGAATTATTGAAGCATTATGTCTGTGTTACAACTTGAAAGCGATAGAAACATGTGATTTGAAATTACTTGAAGCAGTAATGCAAGTTCTTCCTCAGCTTGAAATCATTGGAAATTTCCGGAATAGAGATGGAGTATTTCCTCCTCATGCATCTCAAAGACTGAAATTACAACCTTATCCCAGAATTTCATCTCTGCATTTGATTGGTAAGGTCTAATTTTAATGAATTATTTTTTTATAATTTATTAATTTAAATTAAGCTTTGTATTTAAATAATTTATTTAAAAATTAACAATTTAAATCTATAATATTTTTGGATAGTTGATATTAGTTTTTGTAGCATTTAATCAATATTACTTTAAATAAATGCATTATTTGGGGCTTAAAATATATGCATCTCAACCAGTGACCAATTTTAAAAACTGAAAACCCATAGTAAAATGTTTTATGATGTCTTCCCTCCTCCCTACTTTTGTATTACAGCATATGCTACTAATGCCAGTTACTTAAATCATTTTGTAAAATAGACAAATATAATCACATTTGCTCAATAGAATTGATATTCAGGTAATTTTCTGACTGTAGATGCCTAATATCACTGTTGTGTTCCTTAAACCGTAAACAGATTATTACATTTTAACCTTTGAGTGACATGACTGTCTTTATCCAGTCATGAGATAGATTGCTTCTTGAGTACCTTGTTATTTAAAGCATTTTGTTTTCTTTGACTTGTTATTTTGGCTTGCGTTGCGGCAATTTTTTTGGCCAAAAATCGCCGCTACACAGGCCAAAATAACAAGCCAAAGCATTGCACAAACTCGGTATCCATGTACCACCAAAAATCGCCAAGTTTCGCCAAGGGGTACCCTAAAATGTACTTTTACCCACTCTTTTTGTTTTAAACTTTATTGCTAGTAAGTAATGGAAGATAATAGAAAGGTGATTGCTATCTAGTTAATCACTTTGATCTCCACTCTGGCACTTCAAGTAACAGATAAACACGCTTCTGGTTATAGCAATCAATTACATCAGTAATAGCCAAATTCTGTATACACTAAGAATAGTTTAAAACGTGTGCTAGATAAGTCTATTTATATCAGACATTACTTATTTATATTTTCTGTTGTCTGCATTCCAATGAAAATTTGATGGCTCACTGGAAAATTTGTGACCTGGTGAAAGCATTTTCTTGACTAACTTTATGGCTCATAATTACTGTTCTGTCCTTTCAAACAAACAAAGAAGAGACAAAAAAATAAATAAATAAATAAATAAAATAAAAAAAGACCTTCTATGACAAAAATCTATATGGCTGATATTTACATCTCACAGCCAGCAGATACTATTCAGCAAAATGAAGATCAAATAAAGCGTATGTATTCATGAGCAATCAAACGTGTGTGAGTTGTTTACTGTCCCATAAAACACTCGGTAATGTACCTAAAACACATTAATTATGCCAACTCTAGAAATTAGGTGGTGCACATCATGAGTTTGTTTTATGTGATTACAGCAAAGCCTTGAGGGATATCTGCCTAACAGGAGGGATCCCTTTGTAAACGATTTTTTAAAACTGGCTCATATACCAGTTACAAATGGGGAAAACCAAGAAAACACCCATGCAGCCAGCCCATTCACAGTATTCTAACCTGAGACAGAACTACCAGTGTTCAACGACGCTTCGGCCACTAGTAGGCCCGTGCACTTAATTGGAAAGTATAATTCATTATGTAAACTGATATGAAGGTGATAATCAGTTGAGCACTGTTTTAAGTAATCAAATGTTATAAATACACAGCTGTTACATTTCTTATTATTTATTAGTTATGTTTATATTACGTAGATCATACATATGATATAATTATGAATTAACCCAATAACAAAATGTGCATACTCTTTAGTACTCAAATGCTCATCAATTATTTTTCAATTGATTATTACATAGCCATAATAATTTGCAAAGAAATGATGACTACAGGTGCTGCCAATTACATGATCGTTATATGAATTAAAAGTAATTTCAAATAAACTTTTTGGCAATGTTTATTTTTGTATTCATACATATATATATACACATAAGTCATATATTTACATACAGATAGAGAGATGCGATGGTTTAGAAGTTGTTAATATATATTTATTAGTAAAGTCTAGATTTATATTAATGAATGTATATACAAATGTTTTTCATCATGCATAATAGTAAATCCATAAATTTCCAATGTTTCAATATGTAGCATTTACAATAAAAGTATAGTTTCTAATGTATTTATAATCCAGAAAGTATTTCATTAATAACATGAAAATAATAGACAAATTTTCATTATTACATAAGTTATGCTTTTCTTTTTTTATGCATCTTTTATGCTCTTTAAAATGTGTCACTGATTATGCAATTAACAATTTAAAAGATAAGCAATTAGGAGAAAAGCTGTGCATATACAAACGGATTTAAAAAAATTATTCAACTTAAATTTAAGAAATAAAATTCTATTATATAACAGTGATAATACACGATCAGCATGAAATACGACAAATTTGGCGAATTTTTGGCGAACAATTTGTAAACAAATCCGAACTGCAAGAATGTCGTAAACTCTGAAATTTCCTTAGATTATATATTTAATGAATATATAAACATTTTAAAAATGACTCAGGCAGTTATATTACAACAAAACAGCAATAATTAAATCAGCCTCTATTTCCACCATCCATGACTTCACAGTGAAAGCCATCGCCATATTGAAAGTTACCCGTGATCCTTCAGAAGCAGAACTTTCGTCTGATTAGTTAAACGTTCGAGGAACACGTCTTCAGCCGGAACATTTTCGGAAAAGTTTTAAAATGTTGCTCGTAGCCGGAACATCTTCCTTCTAGCTAGACGAAACATTTCTCGGAAGCCTCCCGCTTAAAGCAGTGCTACTAGAATTTAGTTTCTCGGAATTGCCCCGCATAGCCGCGCGCGTCCCTAGAAGTGATAGCCTCTTAATTTTGTAGCAGATCATAGTTTAATGAATCACAAACAAGACACAATAAGCAACCAATCAAAAATAACATAAAGAAAATATAAACAAATAAAAGAGGATTAAGTTTCAGAATGCACCAGACAACAGTAGATAATAATGATAACAGTGGTACTTTGTAGTGGTGGTATTAAGGGTTTTCAATTTTTGTTTATGTGGTACGCATTAGTCAAAAGGTTTAGAACCGCTGCTCTATGCCTTCCTTATGCATGAAGCCATGAGCAACAAGCCTGGCTTTGTAGATCCCATATGTTGTTATCTTCCATAGATTTCGTTTCCTCTTCCATAGTTTTGATTGTTCTTTTGGTAGATTTATGATATCCTCAAATGTCAGAGTGTCTTGTTATGCAAACATCACTTGATAAGTCTCAGGATTAGGATACCTGGTTGTGTCTTTTCTCTTATAGATTTTCTTTGTTCCTCCTTATTTGCAGCATTTAATTCGCCATTATCAGTGTTTGTAATTGATTTGTTTTCAATTTTCATGTCATCATTGTCATTTTTAATTAAATCAGAACTATTGGGAATGTATTTTTGATTTTCTGCTTTCTTATTTTCTTCATTAAATTTAATATTTTTGGAAACAATGATGCATCTTGTTTCTGGAATCATTAAATGATATCCCATTGTGGAATAACCTTTTAATATCATTTTGACAGATTTTTCATCTAGTTTCTATCTTTGGGATGGTGGCACAAGAGTATAAGCATCACAGCCAAATACATGCATGTTTGTCAAATCAGGATTTTCACCATACTTCAGAAAAAGGTACAGGATTGTCAATTGAACTATTTGAAAGCTGTAAGTACCACTTCACCCAAAGGAATTTTGGTAAATTTGCCTCAAGTATCATTACTCTAGCTTTTTCCAGTACAGTTATATTTGCTCTTTCAGCAACACCATTTAGAAAAGGTTTATAGGGAGGTGCGGAATCTGTTTTTACACCTGCTCTTTTAGCAACTTCATAAAGATCTCCACTGAACTATTCTTTGGCATTGTCACAGCACAGTTTTGTGACAGTTGGATTCGATTTAAAGAACAGTTTAAGTTCATCAACAATGTCCCTTTTTTCTTTTGAGCAGTCTTATTTCCATAAATGGCGAGTAGTCATCAATTATAGCCATGAAATACTTTTCCCCATAGAGTGTTTAAGGTTCTATTGGACCACATATATCAGTGTGTATAGTTATATACGGTTTGGATTCTTTTATGCGAGGACCCTTTCCTATAGGCAATGCACTTTGTTTGGCTTAAACGCATACTTCACAAAATGGTTCTTCTGCAGGAAGATTCATTAGTTTAAATTTTTTATCACAACAGTGTCCTAGTTTTCTGTGCCATAAATCATCATTCTCTGCTGCTAAAATTGTAAATAGATTTGGTGAAAAATCACTAAAATATTGTCCGCCTTTGTCTAGATGTCCAAATTTAAAACATTCGTTTTTGTTTTCAATGTACACTATTTCATTTAAAAAAATTATGCTCAAACCTGCTGCTTCAACATTTTTGACAGAAATTAATTGTCTGTTTCATTTCGGAACTTAAAGAACATCTTTTAACATTATTTCAACACCATTCTTAGTTTTACCGTAAATGTCACCAATTCCTTCCACTTCTAAAACCACCGATTTAGACGTGCATTTAACAGTTCCACTCTTAGGCTGAATTGAGGTAAGCCATTCCTTGTGAGAAGTTGCACCAGAATCAATAATAAATTGATCACGCACAAGATTTCCAGCCATAGAAGATATTGCAGATGATGCATACTTATTATTATTTGAATTTGATTACTTTTCTGGATTATAAAAACATTTACTTTTGAAATGACCAGTTTTCCCACATCTATGGTAAACGCAGTTCTTTTTTCTACAGAATTTAGCAAAACGTCCTTTTCTTTTGCAATAATAAGTATAAAACAGTTCTTTATGGGCACTAATAAAAACAGAATTGCCCATATTTGGTGTAGAATACTTATTTTCATTTTTATAATCAAACATAAGGGATTCAGAATCAATAAGTCTGTTTGTAACAAAATCCAAACTCAAATTATCACTTGGTTGATTTTCTAGTGAGCCTTAACATTTTCATATTCCTTTGGCAGTGACATTAAAATGTAAATAATAACATCAAAGTCACTTACTTCAGATCCAGAGATGTGTAGATTACTAACCAAGTTCGTTACG